ATCCGCCTTGCGAAAACTCTTGCATGTTTTTGGTGCCACCTCCTGGACTATAATAATGTATTAAAAGTCTCCACCAATATCTTGTTTGCGTTTCAAGATATTTATGGTCAAATGTCACAGAAATGAGTTTTTCTTAAATCTTTTGCTTTCGGTATGTCCTACGACTATTTTGGGTATGAAAGGAAAAAAATATTGGAAAATCCTCTTCAAAAAATGTTATTCACATATTTTACGTCAAACCAATCGTTTCCATTATATATGCCAGGAAAACAGAGGGCAGCACCCGTTTCTACACCACCCCAGATGCAGGCGCGTTTTTTTAACATGATTTCCCCTGTAGGCCTAATCCATTATCGTCCTTGTTGTGACTTTTAGCTGTAGGTAGAGAATGAGGATGTGCTATCCTCATTCTCGTAATCTGTCCCTCTTTCACATTTTCGTCCTCTGTCATCTCCTCCAAAATCTGCAAATTCCTCATTGAGCAATGAGGTTAGCTATGTCTCAACCATTATCAGCCTTATTTGAGCCAAAACACATTTGCTTAGGAATGGAACCTTGATTTGACTGCGAACGAAGAAAGCTCCACTTATCACTATTCGAAGCGTACACGACAAATATCGAATTGAAACTGATTAAACTTATGATTACGCTCTATTTATCCTATTATTGCGAATCGAAAATTGCACTCTGGATCTAGCTAGAAAAACATCGAATCGGATATAAATAGAATTCCCAGAAAAAGCTCGCTGCCCGTCGTAAACAAGTGCCTAATTTCTTGGAATCCCAGCCGGGCCGTCGATGCATTTCTGTAACAATGCCTCCCTTCTAAATCCTCAACCTGTCAATATGTACCACCTTCATCTTTCCTTTGGGACCGCGTTGGATTCGATACACACACATAAAGCCTTCCCATACTGGTGTTAGCTTGGGAGATCTACCTTTTTTCCTTTGAGGGTTATAGAGCCAAACTTTGTCATTCAACTGGAAACCTGTATAGAGTTCGCCCTAAGATCATATTTCGTTTTCATTCGATTACTTGCGAACTCCGTCCTTTCTCTATGTCATGGATGTCAAGCAGCCTTTTTCGCAGATTGTCAACATAATCTTAGGCTTCCATGTTGGCGACAGCTCGCTGATGACCCGAACACCAAGTCACAGGGTGAATGAAGCTCCCTTCCAAATAAAGCTTTGGCTAATGTAATTCCTGTTGTGCTAGGACTGCTACGCACGGCTGACATGTATGCCATGCACATTGTCCCCACCATGTCTTGACATTCTGGGTAGACAATAAATAGTTCACCCCTCTATGGTTCACCCAATAAAATCTGTCACGGATCTTGTCCAAGAACTTTTTGACACCCAAGTGAGCTCCGGACGCCCCATTTTAAACTTCTTCTAAAACTCGAACAAAGGCACGACCAATAGCGTTTTGACGATTTTACCATCTGCACTATCCCAGGTTCGTTTCAGTAAACCATTTTCAACTAGGGAGTCCCATGGAGTCTACAGCGCCTTGAAAGTTGAGGTTCTAAGTGATATTTCTTGCCAGGTTGATCTGGATTTTCCGGATATCTTTAGATTTAAAAATGGCTTGATGTCACTATCTTGTAAGTGGTCACTTCCCACTGTTCGGAACTCCATTCTTGATCCGTTTCAAATAGGACCTCCTTCACGCTGGTCTATTCTGAGGCAGTGCTTGCATTGAGTTGGGCATGGTCGCTTGGATAATGCATCTGCGTTAATATGCAATTTACCAGAACAGTTTTTGATCTTTGTATTGCTGTAACTTTGCAAGCCATATTGCTATCTGTCCTTCTGGTTGTTTCATGTTTAGAAACCATTCGAGCGATGCACGGTCTGTTCTAATGAGAAATTTTTGTTCATACAGGTAGTTGTGAAAATGGTCAACCGCTCTGTCTATTGCTAACAGCTTTTTTCTTGTAACGCAGTAATTTCTCTTGAGCTTGGTAACCACTCTATTGTAGTATTCAATTACCGTTTCGTATTTGCCACAGGACAGCTCCAATGCCTGTGTTGCTCGCGTCTTTGTGCAAAATAAATTTTCCAGCAGATTTGGCAACGATATCCGAACGTCCTAATCCAGTATGATTTTACTAAAATAAAATAGAACTCGAAGCAAAACGTATTTTATTCTATAATGGACCTTTTGGTTCCACGTTTTTTTACGGAAAAAGGGGATACCTGAGGCCCAGAAGGATTCTGCTCAGATAAACCATTTACAATTGGCAACGATACAATGCATTGTAAAGGTGGTAGCTAACTGCATACTATCAGAATGTCAGAGGATTAAGGACAAAAACTGAAACTCTTTACACCAATCTCCTGTCAGAAGACTATGATGTTGTAGGCCTGACTGAGACATGGTTGAACGCTGGAATATTCGACGATGAATTGGTGGATACAAGGTAAGGCAGGAGCGCAACTCCAATAAAACCAGAGGAGGACATTTCCTTCGGAATTGTTGACATTGGCTTTGATGATTGTGATATACATAGATATTGTGTTAGTTAAACTTAAACTTCGAAAGGAGTGTACATGTTTCTGTAGTATGCTTTCCGCCCCATGATTGTTGAAAGTTATGAAAACTATTTTGATATATTTGATGAAATACTAATGTTAAATGACAGCAAAGTATTGATAGTGGGTGATTTTAATTTGCTAAATTTGTTTGCTGATGTCTGTGATAGAAACCTTGTTGCACGGCAGTTCCTATGTATGTATGACACCATACGTAACCGTCTGAGCAGAACTTTGGATCTAATTTTGTCTAATTCTGATGTGCCTTTTGTATTAGTTGCTCCACAGTTGTGACTGGTCAGAGCTATGGCAGTCCCAGGACTGATGTAAGCAAGTATTTTATAAAAACACTGTTAGATGCCTCGATACCTAAGTATCAAAATATCAAATATCCCTTGTGGTTCTTTATCGACCTGGTACGTAAAAACCAGATTAAAGAATAGGCTACATGGCAAAATCAAAAAAGAGAAAAGCCAGGAGGGAGGAACATGACAGATAGGTACATTGTACTCATTGTAACTGAGGCAGACAATCAAGTCCCAAACCAAAATTGGGTATTTAGAACATCTAAGTTCTGTTGGGCAATGTATACAGCTCTTTTTGGTCTTTTATTCACAGTAAATCAAGTACTGGAGGGGTACCGGTTGAAATGACAAACGGAACGGTCAGATTCAGAGATCCAAAAAGTACTTATAGCAGATGCCTTTTGCGCAGCATTTCGCATCAGTACCTATATAATATCTCAGAGCAAGGACCTAGAATGGTGCTTCTGATTTCTCAGAAATAACAGAAGTTGACATTCCAACAAGTTTAAAAAAATTAAAACCCAAAAAATTAACCGAAGCAGATGGTATACCCTCTTATGACGTCTATAAGGGTTACCAGGACTTGTTGTGTGTAAAGCTAGCTAGGTATTTGACAAAGTGGATTATTATGTACTACTAAGTAAGCTGACGGACTTTAGGCTTCTCCAAAAGCGCTATTGCCTTTATGAAATCTTACTTGCTCGAGAGGCCCCAGGTTGTTGAAGTAGGAAGGGACAAATCCAAGTATTTTGTGGCCACCTCGCGTGTCCTCCATGATGGAGTAACTTGGGGCCAGTATGCTGTTTTGTTGTTGTTGTTCAGAACGATAGACGATAGAACAGATTGTAATACTTTGCGGTCTGATCTTGACTCTGTCGTAGATTGGCTTAGTGTAAACAAAATGGGCCTCAACATCAGCAAGTGTGCTCAGAGCTGTGGTCTCCTTTAAAAGAAAAGAGGATTACATTAGGGACGATTATTTTTTGTAAGTGGGATGGCGTTAAGCAGAAAATCAGAAGTTATGGACTTGAGATGAGTTACGTTTTATTGATAGTAGGAGAGCCGGCAATATTAACGGGTATGTGATCGTTGCAATGGATAATTTTCACATAAAAGAATAGCTCATAGTTACCTTTAAACTAAATGGATGGGTGGCCTCGATGGTTGGGCGTAAACTACCCCTCCCTCCGAAGGAACAATGTTATCGTTTCAATAGCTGAAAATTGGTAGATATATTCTTTAATATGTCTTCTCAAATAGTACCTACATAGGGTGGCCTCGATTTTGATGACCGGAAATGATGGCAACCCGCATTGAAAGTCGAGCGCACAGTGACAGCCTTCAAAGTCACATTTATAGTTAAAAGAGGACTCTGTGAAGAGGGTTTTGCATACGGCTGTAGGTCTTTGGACAAAAAAAGAAACATGAAATTGTGTTAATAAAGTGTTAGCCGCATATGATGAGAACCCCCTATACCGCAAGGTACTTCTTATTTGTTGCGCTTATGGTTCTTGAAGTATCTTTTTATAAAACAACTTCACGGCCATGAGAATCGAGGCAACCCATCCATTTGGTTTAAAGGTTACTACGAACTATTGTTTTATGTAGAAATTATCCATTGCAACGATCACATACCCGTTAGTATTGCCGGCTCTTGGACTATGAGGGTTAAAATAATTTGATACCTATAGAATAGACTCTAATCAAAGAGTGTGTAGTTATTCTTTTCAAAATCATGAAACTTCAAGAAATGCGAGGTGAAATTATAAATCCTGCACCTCAAACATACAGGCATCATGCTTCCGGTCATCTTGCACTGATGAGAGCTAACAAGCTCAAAACCGGGATGCGTTGCAACTAATCAGCATCTAATTCATTATATGTTACAGGGTGTTGTGTAATCTGGTCGTAACCAGAATCAATACAAAGCTATTAACAGTTGGTGCTAGCCATTTGTGTTTTCGTCATTTTCCTACAAAGTTGCACAATTAAAATTAAATCCCCATCATGAAAGTAAAAAACGCACGTTATTCAAAAAAATATTAAAGTCCCATAACCGAAGCGAAGCGACAAACGCCGCTTTAACGAAATGAAACAATTAGCTTCAATTACCGATCCATTAAAAGTTCTAAAATCCACTCGAACGGAACAAAGTGAGAAACCACTAAGAATTAATGAGCTTTTAGCTTTTCGGGCCTGGTGTGGTAGAGTCGAAATCGGGCTTTACGAAACTTTAATCACAAAAAGCTCTCGTCACAGAGTCGAAATTCGTTTGTCGGAGTATCGTCGGTTGCCCAGCAACAAACTTCTAACATTAGGGTGCAGGGGCGGAGCCCTAAAACTTCGCACCAATGAAACCTAAGTGTCGACGCGCAATGCTCGAGAGTGTGTAATGTATCGTCTAATGTCCCTGTAATGTCTCATATTATTAGGATAATACATTTCAAATCGTTTAGTCTATCTGCCACTGAGCTGCCGTTAACTCCCAGTTAGATATTTGATTAATTGATCTTTAACAAACAACTTTACGGGCCCCAATTCACAGTGAAGTTTAAATTTTAAAATTATTATGAACTCTTTTTAATAAAGTGAATTAATAAAACACAAAATGCATCACGCGGATTTTCCTAATACCAAATTGGACGCAAAAATTCATCACGAAACAAAAGGTTCGTTTTGTATAGACGCATTGCTATCTCGAAACGAAGAACGTGCCACAACCAGCCCCGAAATAGCACGTAGCACCTCGTCCACATCGACAAGAAGCCAAAGTCCTCCGATATCGCCGGGATGTGAAGAAGTGAGTACGACGGCCTTCGTGCCGCGTCCAGGACTTTTGAACAATTTAAATCAAACGTCGTATTTGGGTTCGAATAATTTGTATACATATCAGGGGCATCCGCAAGGGTCCGCGTTTCATTCTCTCGATGGAAATTTGATGCAAAAAGTACACATTCCTGTGAATCCTCATAGTCAATTTCATCAGATCCAGATGGAATGGTTGGCGAGGACGGGGATGTTTTATCCGAGATTACAAGATCTGACAGGTAAGTCATAATGTTAAAATGTTATTTTTGTAAAAATTTGTATACATTTTTAAACGTACCTATACCTAATCTAATAGCAATTTTCATTAAAATGTACTCACATATTATTTGATATTTAAGTTATAAATACCTACCTACTTATTTTTGCTAAAACTCTTGAGAAACGTGATCTTATTTTGGAAAAAGTCACGTTAGGGGCTAAAGAAAACAATATCAGTTCTAAAGTTAAACTTCAATATCGCTCTTAAACAAGTACTTATAGGTACTCCAACATTTTATATCAAATTTATCTAAATAAACATATAGTCTTCTACGAGAATTGTTAAAAAAAAAATTCCATTATGAATGGCTTGAGAGAAAATAATAATTCCTACTTAAAAGAAGAATACTTATTTTAGAAAATTTGCATGAATCTCATTAGGTGTAATTAAAACACAAGCTAGGGCTATAGATCCTTATTTTATTGGGTAAATATGAATTCAGATATGGAAAATTAGGTAAAAATCAGATGTAGATGTGCGATGACAAAAAATCACTTACATCAGAAAAATCATAATGATGTAGGTAATAATTAGGAGCCAGCCGTCATTGTTAAAAAACATCCAGCTCCAAGATCGGTCTGGATTAAAGATAATTTTAAGAATTAAACGTAGTAATCACATTGAAATTAAAAAATAAGATACATTACTTTGTAAACTAACTTATAGCAGTGTAAATAACCCTCATATTAATAGATACGCCTGAGTGCTTGAGAATGAAAATTGTACAAATATATATCAGTTGGAAATATTTTAATCCCTATAAAAGAACAAAAGAAAAATTCAACGGAATTGCAATCATCATCATCAAACAGCCTCTTTTCCCGTCCATATTGTTGAATATAGGCCTACTATAAAATTTTCCAGTTGTCTCTGTTTTGAGCAGTTGCGATCCAATTTGATGAGATTTCTTTTTAGGATAGTCTGTCCAGCGAGTGGGAGATATCCTCGGCTCTTGGTTTCCACGAATTTCTTCGTCCATCTGCCGTCCTCAGATCTTGCGACGTGGCCTGTCCATTCGACATTTCCACTTTTGTTTTGCGATTATACGTGCTACAATATCGTCCATCGTCCACTTAGTTCTTATGCATGCGGATCTCATGATTCCTCACTCGGTTTTCTAAAGTCAATCCAAGCATGGATCTTTCCATTCGTCTGTGTTACTCTCAACTTTTCTGCTGATGCTTTGGTGAGAGTCAATGTCTCCGAACCATAGGTTAGGACTGGGAGGACACACTGGTTGAATGCTTTTCGTTTCAGGAAATATTCGACAATCAGCCTTAAATACATCTCTAATTTTCCCGAATGCTGCTCATCCCAAGGTTATTCTTCTTGTTTGGTTATCATCTCTGTGAATTCGAATTCTAATCTAATGACCCAGGTATTTGTCCACTATTCCTATGTAATAGTATTGCGTATTGCCTATCTGTATTTGCTCACTGGGAACCAGATTAGTCTTCATTTTGGTTTTGGAGAAGTTCATCTTTAGGCCTACTTCTTCCGTGGAATTTTAAAGTTCCAGTATTAGGCAATATCACCTGCAAAGATTATGAAGATTTTTCCCATCAATGATAATTCCTTTTCGCTCCCAAAGCAATGTCTTAAAAGCTCATTCGAGAACTGCGATAAACAGCTTTCAGATTCCTCTTTTGATTTCAACTTTTCTGGTGATGAAGTGAAGATTTACGGTGTTGCGTTTCCGTGAATGTTTTCAATAATTTCGCAATATTGGTGATCAACTCTACTTTCTCGTAGTGATCTCAAGATTGCACTCACTTGTAAAGTTTTATGGAACAAAATCAGGTAGTTATAAGGCAACTCCAAATCGTTTAATTTAAAAATTCTTATTAAAATAAGATAATACAACATGTGTATTTCATACCGTTTCAAAGCAGGCTTAGGATTAACCCATTGAAAAAAATCAGAATTTTTTAAAATATTTCAAACTTTTTGGTACCTATTTCTTAATCAATGACAAATGGTATTCAAGTAATATTTAATACTCATAATGAGGGGTTTCTTTCAATTTTTTACGTATCCCTCACTCCCGAGTAAAACATTATTCAATTGTTGATGTCATCATCTTAGATACGGTAGGTACCTACCTACCTAATAATTGCTATTGTCAAACATTTGAAACATGCATAAATGCCAACTAAATTGATAAAAATGGACTTCTAAACCACCTAAACATCCTTTTATTCGAGTTACCCTCTTCTCTTATACGATTTGGAAAATTTCGTAAATTTTCTTCAACATCCTTGTATTTAGAAAAATTCCAAAACTTCAACAAAAAGAATCCTTCCTTGCTCCGTTTAACCTAACCCCATTTTTTCTTTATACACTGTAGGTGTAGTTTTCTTCTCTTCTAAGCAGTGGCGGCTCGTGACTATTTCAAGTAAGGAGGCTAGAAAATAATGAATTACGGTAAGGTGATCACTGCGCAGCAGGCAAAATTTGTTTTGGGGTGCCCATGCCCTCAATAATCCGGTACATCGGAGAGAACTGAGACTCGGAATATCGACTAAAAATCACATTTTGAATATATTCTATTCCCGATTTTAGATTGGCTTCAAATTATCCGCCGACTCCGGCCCTTCGGGCTCGCGTATAACTCTAGCCCTTCGAGCTCGCGTATAATTCCAGCCCTTCGGGCTCGTATATAACTCTGGCCCTTTGTTTTTTTTGGTTTGGGGATTCAAATTTTGATTATTCCCGGCTCTTGATTGGCTTTAAATTTTAAATATTCCCGGCTTTTGATTGGGTTTAAAATAACCTATAAATCGAGATTTGATAAAAACATATTGTCGTTAATTTGACAAAAGGACGTATATGAGAAATAGGCGATTTTTCGTTTTCAGGGAATTTATGTTGCAAAACATCAAATTTATACGCCCTCTTATTGGTGCATATGATCTGCCAGTAGTTTCTGGGTTATACACATTTTTCTTTAAGACGTATGTTTTGAAACAAGAAATAGGCATCTTCCTAAAAGGCGTATATCATATAGGTACGCTTGTAAAATTTAAGAAATTCAATATACGCCCCATTAGTAAAATTAACGACGATATGGCAACGTTGCTCATGATACAACAAACGTCGAAAAATTGAAATTTAAAAGTAAGCCTAGGGTTTTTTGACAGTCGGTATAAAATGGCGCCTTTTTGCTTCAAAGATCACGGTCCGAAGGGCCGAAGTATTAAAATCAGTTGACAATACACGGGTTCGTATAACTCCGGCCCTTCTTCGGGCTCGTATGACCTCGGACCTTCGGGCTCATGATTAAAATAACTCCGGCCTGTCGGGCTCGTATAACTCTGGCCCTTCGGGTTTGCATTACTCCGGCCCTTCAGACTCGTGTAACCTCGGCCCTTTGAGCTCATAATTGAGATAACCTCAGCCTTCCAGAATCGAGATTTGAAAAAAAAACATATGGCAACACTGCTTATAATACAACAAACGTCAAAAAATTGGCCGGTCCCCTGTTTGGCTACTTCCTACGTATTCGCCGAGGCTAAATCTATAGGTATGTCCATGTGGATTTTTTTTAATTTTGACAACTATCAATGTCAAAAATTTTTACCTTTTCTTTTTTTCAAAAAACAAATGTCAGAAAACGATCCCCAGGCTCCGAAAACACTAAAATAAAAAGTTTCATCGATATATGTCAAAAACCAACGGCATGACAACGCTGAACGTCTTTTTTGACATATGTTGAAAAAAAATGTGGTACTTCCTACGTATTCGCCGAGGCTAAATCTATATGCCCATGTGGGTTTTTTTTAAACTTCGACAGCTGTCAATCTCAAAAAAAAAAACGTCGTTTTTTAATGGGTTTTAGGGTGAGAATTATATAGCAACATGTAGCAACACTTATATGAGAATTTAATGAATTCATTTGTAGCAACAGTTGGTACAAAAAATTCAATTTCCCGTCAGGTTTGGAATTCCAATTTTTGAATTTTCCCGGCTCCTGATTGGTTTCGGGATTCGAATTTTGATTATTCCCGGCTCTTGATTGGCTTTAAATTTTGAATATTCCCGGCTCTTAATTGGGTTTAAAATAACCTATAATCTCGGCCCTTCGAGCTCGAGATTTGAAAAAAAACATATAGCAACACTACTCATGATACAACAAACGTCAAAAAATTGAAATTTCAAAGTAGACCTTGGTATTTTTGACAATCGATAGAAAATGAGGTCTTTTTGTTTCAAAGATTACGGCCCGAAGGGCCGGAGTATTAAAATCAGTTGACAATGAACGGATAAAACTTTTGTCGATATCGACAGATGTCACCTGTCAAATTTGACACATGTTCGACTTTTTCCCCGCTCTACTATAAAAGCTACGAAAATCAAACCCCGGTACAAGGCAGTTTCACGACGCTAACTATCGATTTGTGTCAAAAAAATTTGACAGCTGTCAACGTCAAAAAAAGGTTCTTTTTATTTTGTGAATTTCAAGAAAAAAAGTGGTGGAAAACGATTCCCGGACCCCAAAAACCCTAAATAAAAATCCCAAAAAAAAACCAACGAAAATGACATCCCAAAACCTACTTGATGAAACTAAAGTTTTTCTCACTTACCCCGTTGAAAAACTGGAAATTTTTGGTGGAAAATGAAGAAAACTCAAAGCCTTGTACTTTAAATCAGTTTTTCCGACTGAAAAAGCACCGGAAAAGTGAAAAATTCGAAGAAAAACTGAATAAAAATGTAAACACGCAAATGCTTCCTTGATTGAAGCTAGCCACAAGCGATGTTGCCACATCAAAAGCATTTTGAATGGGATTTTGCTAATTATGGCATTTGAAACTAGAAATTTTCACTAAAAAATGGCCAACTAAAAGAACCGTTGCCACATCTCATCTCGGAAAACAAAAATAACATTTCAAAAGGGTTTTTTGTTTAAAATTCAATTTAATAATTAATTAATAATGACTACGTTTATTTCACATGTTCTAT